CTCATCAATGTAAAGACGATATAAAGATATTACTGCTCATCAATGTAAAAAAAAGATATAAAAATGTTAGTGCTCATCAATGTAAAAAACAGTATAAAGATCAATGTAAAAACAATATAAAGATGTTACTGCTCATTCATATAATTAAACGATATAAAGATATTACTAAAGATTTAACTGCTTATCAATGTGAAAAACGATATAAAGATGCTCATCAATATAATAAAACGGTATAAAGATATTACTAAAGATGTTACTGCTCATCAATGTAAAAAAACAATATGAAGATGTTACTGCTCCTAAAGGTAAAAAAAAAACATTTAAAGATGTACTTCTCATCTCTAATTCTAGGCGATTAGGTGCTCCTTAAGATAAGAAATTTCTGATGCCTGTGCCAGTGCTTCCGGGTAGGCCCGAATGTGTAATGAAAGGATATAAAGATGTTACTGCTCATCAATGTAATAAAATAATTTAAAGATGTTACTACAGATGTTACTGCTCATCAATGTAATGAAATATAAACATGTTACAGCTCACTAATATAAAAAATGTAATAAAGCGATAGAAGGATGTTACTGCTTATTAATGCAAAAAAAAAAAAAAAAAAAAACTATATAAAGTGTTACTAAATACATGTATTTGAAATAAGCTCAAATCCATCTATTTACTTTTATTGAACTATTTCAGTTGTAACATTTCTAAATAAAAATAGACATAGTTTTGTCTGTGATTTCAAGACGGACGGGCTTAAAGATAGGTTTCCTTATTTTTTAGTGTCAAATTAAGCAAACTGTATGATTAATTTGTGTTTCTTATGAATTAAAATACAGATGTGAGGTCACCCTTTGATCTTTTGGGGCTCCTGGTCGAAGTCCATCAAGGGGGGCAGTTTAGTTTGAGCTTTTTGATCGACATAGTGTCAAATGGTCTTAATCAGCCAAAATTCTACTCGATGTGTAGGTGATCCTGCCTTGAGTCACTAAATGCGATTATTGATAATGGTCCCAATGACGTCATTTCCTGATCTATCA